TTCCCACCTAGCCTTAAAGAAAGAAAGGGGAAGGACTCACAAAACCTGTTCAAGACCCTTCCCCAGGTTAAGAAACCATTCGTTGTACTATATGAGCCTCTGAGCATGTCAGGTCACCCGGGCTAGAACATGTCTTTTTAAGGTGTGTGCACGCGCGTGTGAGTGTACGCAGTGTGGGCCAGATCGTCAACTGGCGTAAATCAGCATTGGCATCAATGGAGCGATGCTGAGTGACATCAGATGAAGAGCTGGCCCTAGAATCCCCATTTCTCTTCTTTGTGATAAATATTCCGTGACTCCAAAAGGGCCCAATTCTGTGAAGTGCTGAGCAGCCTCAAGTCCCACTGAAACCAATGGCAGCATCAGGGCTCTCAGCACCTCATAGGATTGGGCTCAAAGTGAGGGCGTCCTTTCTGCCGAGGGGGCGAAAAGGAGGGGGAATGAACTGCGACAAGGAAGCCCGAGAGCATTGATTAAGAAGCGAGTGGCGCTCAGTCCTCTTGGCTTCCTGTCCAAAGGAAATATTCCAAGTTTGAGCCCAGGGACTTTTCAAGCTTGTCTCCCTGCTGGGCTATAAAACAGACAGACAACAAATGCCTTTCTGGACCCTCCACTGACTGCAACATTTGTTGGTGTCTGTGCATCTCATTCACGCTCCTCTGTGCAACACTAGTAAGAATGTAACTGTATTGTGGGGCTGGGCTGGGGCTCGCTCGCTTGAGAACATGACCTTTTAATTTAAACAAAAGCCTTGAAAAAATGAAAGTGGGTCTTAAATGCAGTTTAATCAGTCAGGCGAAAGATGTCTAATGAAGCTGCCAGCCAGTTTTGTAGCCAGACTGTCACTTTACCCATCATGTTTACAGCCTCCAGTGGTGAGCTTAGGGGCTGTGTGAAGGCACAAAGTCTGTCAAAATTTCCCTGTGTCTGCTCCACCGCGACGGCTGTAAGTTTTGACAAATTAGTTTGTTGTGTTGTCTCTTGATTCAGAAGCCTGACCTGGGGGTGTTCCCACCATTACTGGGGGGGGGAGGGGTTGGAGCACACGGTGTCAAGGCACTAAAGCTAGAATATTCCCAAATCAGGTAAGTTCTTTTCCATTTTTTTGCTTTGTTTTAATATGCCTTTTGATGGTTTGTGTTAAGAAAATAACATTTTGAAATAAGAGCAGTTAGGAAGTTTAAAGGGCACTTTTATATCTCCCAGATCCCCTTCGTAATGTGTTATTGAACCACTGTTGTATCTATGGTCTACTTGAATTTCAGTTTGTTTTCTTGTTTTAAGCAGCTGGAACAGTATAGCTAAGTAGTTGCTTCTCTTTTGGGAGATAATTATACTGAGAAATGACCAGTTTTAATGTATAGAAATGAGAAATCTTCACCGCCCACCATGGTTCAAATTCCCTCTCATGTAAAGACACAAAAATCATGAATGCCTTTGATGCTAGCATAGTTCCCATGCAAGTTTGGAAATGGCTCTCTGTGTGTGTATGCTATGCATTTATTTTTGAGGGAATATTTACTGCTTAAGAAGTTTTACAGGGTTGCCTGTTGGGGAAACTAACCTTTCTGTTTATCCACAGGCTAAGTCAGGCTCAGACATTCATAATATGGGCTTCCCACACTGCCACGTCAGTGAACTCAGACTTGGGAGGGAATTGCCTCTTTGAAAAATGACAGGGGATTCATTTTCTATGCTAGCTCATTCTGGGTTCGCGGGAGGGGAGGTTAGCAGGAAGAGAAAAGCACTTCCAGTTTTCTGTCTTTTCACTCCTTTTATTTTTTAAAGACCATTCAAGTTGCCACTTTCACACCATAATCCAGCAAATCCTAACGTGTCTCCCAGTCATTTCGAAATAAAAGCAGGAGTGTGTGTGTCTGAGCGTTCTAGCGTTTTCAGACAATTTTCACATTTACATAGGCTGCGCACTGGAAGAGTGAAATAAAAAAATCTAGATTTGGAGCTTCTTGGGCCAGAACGGACCACAGTGATCACCTTCATCTGGTCTGTTGTATAGCACAGACCAGAGAACTTCCCCCAATTAATTCCTAGAGCAGATCTTTTAGAGAAACATCCAATCTTATTCAAACTCAAACTTTTTTTCCCCCTCTTGCAGATTCTTTGAAGTCAGGTTTCAGAGTAGCAGCCGTGTTAGTCTGTATTCGCAAAAAGAAAAGGAGTACACAAGTACTCCTTCACTTTGAAGTCAATTATTCTTTAAAAAGCCAGTTGTGTGAAGCAACATCTAATTCTGCTTCAGTGGAACAAGTCAACTGGATAAAAATGACTTTTCAAGGATTCCCCCCGCCCCCAAATATTTTCTCCAAGTTTCATGCTTAGGAGAACTCCCCTCTGTAATTGTCTTGTCATGATTATAGGGTCTTTCCCCCCATTCACTGCCATTTTACAGGGAAGCCCCAGGAAAAGAATTCTTAAAAATTAAATTTCATGCTTGCATGTGTTTCTGTGATCTGCAATGTGTATGATCTCTGAGTGGAAAACTTCTCTAAAAATAAATGGATTACCCTTTTTACTACACTGTCTGATGTCTCTTTGGTAGATATCACTGCTTCCCTGTGATCTCTAACCCACTGCAATTGAATTGACAGGCGTTGAAATTAAAGCCTCTTGGTGGCGCCCTCTGCCTTTGTGCCCCTTTTTGCTGTGTGCTGGGTTAACACACCAGACCTACTTTTAGTCAGCATGCAAATACATCACTTGTTGGCAAAGGACAAATGTTTGACCTTTTATAAAACGGCATTGTAAATATCATCGTTGCTTGGTTCACTGGAAAGACCCACCTCATTCCACCCACAAAAATTGTCTTTTTAGGGTTGCTGCTGCCTGGAGTAATATTTTCATTGTGGCCTTTAGATATTTATTTTTCAATGACGTTCAGTATGTTTGATGAGTCCGGTTTACAACATTTTTGTAGTGGCGAACCCATGAAATGGGGGAAATTTCAGTTCCTTTTTCGTGAAGGGCCGATCTTGCCATGTGCTTAGGGCACAAGCCAAACCTTTTGGAGCCAAAGGAAAGACTCCCCTGGACTTCAACAGGCCTGGGATCGGACCCCTCGAGTATGTTTGCAGAGCAACTGCCCCTGCCCCCCAAACATCTGATTTAGTGAGTCACAAAGCCTGAATCAGCTGACTCAGGTTCACACTGGAGGGCTAAAAATAGCTATGTAGATGTTCAGGCTTGGGCAGGAGCCAGGGCTCCCAGACTCTCCAGGTTTCACAGCCTGAGCTCCAGCCCAAGTCCAAATGTCTACAGTACTATTTTTAGCCCCATGGTGCGAGACCCATGAGCCTGAGTCACCTGATCTGGCCTCTGAGACTCACTGCTGCAGGTATGGGTTTTTTTTTTTGCTGTGCAGATGTACCCTTAGACTATATGCTGTTTGGAGCATGGATCTTTTTATTGTATGCGTGTACAGAGCCTAACACAACAGGCCCCTGGTCCGTGACTCGGGCCTGTAGGTGCTACTGCAGTATGAATAGATAACCTGCACTTCATCCATCACTTTTAAGGTTTTTCTCCGTTTTCTCAGGCCCTGATCCAACCAGCCTCTCTCATGCGAACACTCCCATTGACCTCCTTAGGGTAAAGGCTTGTGACTATAAACCACTTCCAGTTTCTTCATGATGCTGATATTTTATTAAAGATTTTGAGATGGATGAATGGAAAGGACTCTTCCAATGTTGCCTATTGGAATATCATCTACCGCCAGGGCATCAAACACAGCCATCGGTATCCTCAGAGAACCAGTATATTTACCCCTCTTTGGCAGGGCTGTATTAAGTCTGGACTCAACTAGTAACCGTCCTTACAGAGCCACCTTGCAGGTTATTAGGTAGACGTGGATAAGGAAAACCCTGAACAGATGATAGCAACAGCACATATCAGAGACAGGACAGTGTGTCTTGAGAGGGTAGCACTGGACTGGCACTGAGGAGATATGACTTCAATTCCCCAATCTTCCACAGGCACTGGGCAAGTAATTTAATCTCCTTGTGCCTCAGTTTCCCAAATGAAGAGAATGACAGTTACTTTGGCTACCTTGGCTATTTAGATTGTAAGTTTTGGGGGGCTGGAGCTGTCTCTTACTAAGTGTATATAGGGGGTGCCATTGTGCTAGATATTGTAATTTCAGTTGGCGCTTACTCAAATACAAATAATAATTAACAATAACATCTGCCCCTGAATCATCAAGGAAATAGAGCATCGATGTGCTAAAGCTACAAAATGGAGAAAAAAATAAGTAATCAGGCTTTTAATTGAAATTATTGAATAAAGACTTCACATACTATAATAGACATTGCTGGAAAACTTCCCCACGAAGGTACTTAACAATAAAATGATGCTACCAATTTCTTATATAGTCTATCAGTTGATCTCAAAGTGCTTCACAATCTTTAATGTATTTATCCTCACAACACCCCTGTGAGGAGAGCAGTGCTGTTACCCCCATTATATCTCTGAGGCCACGCCCTAACCATCCTGCCCTCATGGCTCTCTAGAAAACAAACACAGTGTCTTTCAATGACCATACTGGTAACTTCTGTAGTGGTAAGACGCATATTTGAGAATAGCTTGCCAAAAGAGATGGGAGAGCGGAGAGGCCATACCTCTCCAAATTACGCACGTAGAGATGTGTACCGCTGGTCTGCAGTGCTCCTCATTTGCTTGTTGTGCATTTCTGATGTATTCATGCAAGGCTAGAAAATCTTACCTTCTGAAAATGCAGCTACTGGGAACTTCTGAAGAGAACAAACCAGGTGCATCTTGACTCTGTTGTCTAAATGGCACTGATTGAATTACCTTATTACACCAATCTCTTCCGCCTACCCACATCCCCGATCACATTGTTTGTGCCTAGGATACTTCCAGCAAAGAAATTGCCTAAAGTAACCACCTCTAGAACTGTAGCTGTTATTGTCATTCTCTTAACTGTCAGGATGCTATTTTGAAGACCGCTTAGTTCTCTCTTGTTTCCCCAGGGACGGAATTGGTGTCTATCCTGATTATACTTCATGTCTCCTGGAATCTTCAGAGGTTGAAAGGAAACTTCAGCAGGTAGGATTATCTCCAACAGTATTGTAGCCTGCCAAATTGTGTTTGGATTTTCCTAGACTTATTTACTTGCTCATGACATCCTGGGTAGCAAATTAAAAAAAAATATAATAATTTGGCTGCGTCTGAAGACCTGGAACTGTGTTTTCCAGACGACTCCGACAAGATTGATTTTGAGATTTGACATGAGATTGATTTAGTGACTAACCTCACTGGTCTGATTCCAACCCCTGGCCATGCTGTGGCTATTGTGAAAGGTGCTGAGCTGTTAGAGGACAGTCATGATGCATTCTTCTGGCATGTTTGGTTTATCACTTTTCTGTTTAACCTTTTTCAATTAAATAGTGTCACACGGTGGCTGGGATTAAAGCAGGTCCTGCTCCCATGTGCCAGAGCAGGTGCTCTGAGTCAGGCACTGATCCTGTGGGTTGCTCCCGGGGCTCCAGCACCCACAAAAAAAGGGGGTGCTGAGCGCTCAGCCTGGCCCCCGCCCCCACTCAGCCCTCTTCCCCTGTGGCCCCACCCGTGCTGCACCTCTTCCTGCCCCTGCTCCTCCTCTTCCCTCGAGGCCCGCTCCTCTCTGCCCCCTCCCCACATCACTCCCCCCTTAATGCATGAGGCATGAGCAGTGGTCGGGAGGTGCTCAGGGGAGGGGGCAGAGAGGAGCAAGCGGTGGGCAGGCTGGGGGGCCTCGGGGGGGGGACGGGAAGAGGCGGAGTTGGGGCAGGGCCAAGTGGGGGGAAGAGGCCGAGTGGGAGAGGGGTCTTGGGGCGGAGTGGGGGTGCAGCACCCACCGGCAAAAACAAAAGTCAGCACCCGTGGGGTGGGGGGGCTGCACCCAGGCTATAAAGGGCCGGAGGGGGTTTCACTGCAGGCAAAGCTCAAAGGGGAAATGCTGAGTGAAGCTTCAGGGAGAGAAGGTCTCCTGCAGTGGTCCCCAAGGAGTTGGGGCTGGGTAAGAAGACCAAGCTGAATTTTTGTTGTGTTTTTTTTCATTGGGAGAAGGCAAAGAAACCAGGCCAAGCCCTGCCTCTTCTCCAACTGCCCAGACAGCAGGAAGCGACAGTACCTCAGGGAGGAGGCGTGTGCCCAGGTTAAGGCTGGCTGGAAGATTTTTTTTGTTAATAAATTGTCACGCTGTCTGGAGTGGCTCACGAACATGGGTGCCAGCCTCAGGGCAGCCTGTCACGAAGCAGGGCACAACCCCCAAATGAGTTGCATGTCATATAATTAGATTTCACCAACCAAATGTCAAGTTTGAGCTCCTCGAGCCTTGACATGGAGACACAGACAGGCACTCCAGTCCATCTTGGCACCTAGGCAAACCTGCCTTTGTGATGGATGGTCCCTTAAACCAAAAATCACTATAATATTCAGGTTAGTCCCAGCCCCAAAGGGTCAGTCACTTACCCCAGATCAATTGTACCTCAGATCCCACCCCAAAGGCAATGCTTGTAGCCAATCCTATATTAAACTGACTAAGGGTTTATTAACTAGGAAAAAGAAATGAGTGTTGTTTACAAGGTTTAAGCAGGTAAATATACACAAACAAATGAGATACTGGCTTAGATTTCAAAAAGTAATAGAAGCTGCTGTAGTGTGCAAGCTCTATATGTCCTTTAGGGCTAACCCAAGCGTAGCAGCTTAGGGATCCCTTGCTTATGCTTAGAAATATTGCACTCTCTGAATTCCAAGCAGCACACAATCATGATAATTTCTCCTTAATGGGGATTTTTATTCCCTTCCCCCAGCAGTCATGCTGTGATGGGAAGAGGGCTTGTGCAAGGTACCCTTTTCAGAGGTGTGGGGGAAGCAATCAACAAAGTCTTTTGTTCACTGATGTTCCATGATGGGTTTTTCTGGTGTCTATAGGCTTCCTTTGTGTGGGAGGAGATGACACCTCTTGTGGTAAATTAGTATTTCACACTTGGTAATGCTTCTCTCCTGATTGTGGAGGGCGGGGGTTACCATCTCAGCAAACATTTTTATAGTTACAGAGCAAACATTTAAATATTACCTTATGACATGGGATACAGATATTATAAATAAGATTAATACATGCAGCATCCTACAAGCATTTCATAAACTCCAAACACATGCTTATGATGCGAACATCTGTTTTAACAATGCTAACACACAGGTGAGCCAGACTGGTTTCTAGCTTTGCTTTCATCAGTGTTCAGTAAGGCCGAGGGGCCTTGGCATGAGCTGGCACCTGGTCTGCCAGCCTCACATAAATAACAATGCCCCAAGAAGGGCTGTGATTGGACGAGAAATTGTGTGGCATTTAATGAGTCTGGAAGGAGGGGAAAACAGAGGCAGGGCACTTCACAGGCACTCCGGGTCATGAGAGGGTGCTGGCGTGGCAGTCACCATGTTACAACTGGCGTAGTCCGCAGAATCTGTAACCCCATCCCACCAAGGAGGGATGATGGAGCAGAATAATAGAAGCCTTTTCAGCAGGAAGTCCCCAGTTGGCATATGGAGGGCTGGGGGCAGCAGCCACAGGAGTCCTCAGTCCTGTTTTCGGAGGCAGCTAGACATAGTGAGCAGCTGGCAGTGCAGCTAAATCTATGGCAGTGATTGGTCAGGCTTGAGGAGCAGCAGCAGTACTGTGTGGGGCTTCTGCAGAAGGAGAGGGTCTGAAGTCCCAGATACAATGGAAGATGGAAGTTGGAGGCCCAATGGAGGGTGTGTTTTGCCTGTGGGCAGGTGGGGGCATATAAGGAGAGTTTGCCCCCATCTGAACTGTGACTTTAAGAGGCACTGTGCAATACTGGGCACAGAATAAACAAGGGAGACTCTGGGTGGTCCTCTGTCTGCCCTTCAGGCCCAAGAAGGGGCAAGGGCAGGAGGCTACTCAAAGGTTGTGTGTTTTTGCTGTGGGGGAACAGAGCACATCACAAGGTATTGCCCACAGTGAAGAGACTGTGGGAAACCATGGGTTGGGGTGCCCCAGGTGGCAAGGTGATTTTTGGGAGGGACCGATGAAGGGGTAAGAGATGGCCTGACTGTTTCAGGTATGGGAATGTGGAACACTTCAGGTGGATCTGGCCTGTGAAGAACAATGAACATGGAGGAAATTATGCCTCTGGAGAGGGAGAGCCCTACAGACCAAGGGAAGTAGTTCCTCAGACAGAGGCCATACAAGGATTGGATGACAAGGGATGGACCACTTGATAAGTGCCCTGTTCTGTTCATTCTGTCTGAAGCATCTGGCATCAAGCATTGTCTCAAGACAGGATATTGGGCTGGATGGACCATTGGTCTGACCCAGTATGGACGGTCTTATGTTCTCGGTGTCTTGATCTCCTCTCTTGGCTTCAGCTTTTTCCTCTTTGCTGATGATTCTCAAATGTACTTTGCTCCTCCTGAACTTTCCCCTTTCTGTACAGTCCTGCATCTCCCGCTGCCTAGTGATGTCTCTTGTCAGATGTTCAGCCACTATCCAAAGCTGAACTTTGCACTTTCCCTTCTAAACCCTCTCCTCCACTTCCATCTTTGACCTCCACTGAAAACTCCATTGCCCTTCCTGTCTCACAGGCTCAGATGTCAGCATAATCCTTAATTCTTCTCTCTTGAAAGGCCACTTTTTCCTCTTTAATACCTCCAAAATCCTCTTCCTGTCTCTTCCCCACTGCTACAGCCCTTGACCACGCTCTAGTCGTCCGTCACCTTTATTGCTGTAACCTTCTCCAGCCTGGCCTCACAGCCTCTCCGTTCTTCTCCATCTGCTCAAAATGGCACTGCCAAAGTCATCTTCCACCCCAAAACGTGTTATCCCATCTGCACATCCCTCCATTGCCTTCTTGTCTCTTACCACATCAAATAAGCTCCTGGTCTCCTCCATAATTTTGCTCCTCCCTTCATCTGTACTCTTATTTCCTCCTATGTATCCTCCTGTTCTCTGATCTCATCTAAATGCTTTCATTCGACTAATTTTCCCATTCTCAACATCAGGCCTTCGTGCTATGCTATCCCATTGCCCAGGACATGCTTTCTGCATTCCTCCTCCAAGTGCCGTCTCTTTCTTCCTTAAAATCCATCCCATCAGGCAGTCCTTCCTTATTAATAATACTCTTCATACTCGCACTGCTGAACTTTAGTCCTGTCTTATGTTTGTACTATTTACTGTAGAAATTGTCTTTAACAATAATAGTAATTTTTTGTAGTTGATATGGATGGCTATATGTGTCTATAAGGCGTGATCTGCCTCAGGAGCTTGCTGTTAGTGTGTCACAGCTTCATCTTTTGACTGCAATTGCTCTGCTTATGTATCAGGTGAGAGCTTCTAGTTAAGACTAGACTCCCATGATCCACCAACTCCTTGACTAAGAGGGGAGACAGCGGTGCACCATGGAAGATGTAGTCTGAGAAAGAAGGAAGGCTGAAAGAGGAGAATGGGAGCATGAGTTACTCGAACTACAACTCCTATCAGGCGCCATGCTGAGATTTCCAAATCAAATTTTTTTTAGCTTTCACCAAAAACAAAAGGCTTTTGAACTTTTCAGGCATTTTTTAATGAAGAATTAAATTTCCACAAAAAAAATTCAGGGTCTTTCTGAAGCAGAGTCCAAATGAGGTGATGTCTGGGAGAGAGGTGTTTGTGAAGTATATTGGATATGTGGATAAGATTTCTATGTAAATAGTAAGATTCTGGAGGGGGACACAGATGTGAATTGCAGCAAAAGCTGCTTTCACTCCAGCTTCCTGGGAGCACAGTAGGGCTTTTGTTTTGTTTTTTTTGTTGGACTTGTTCCATTTCTCAATACTTATCTAAGCCTTATTCCACTGAGGTGGAATATATTGAATGAGATTCACAAAAACCACTTTCCAAAACAAGACCCTGTTTTCATTAGAAAAAGAGAAACCTAGAAATTAGCAAGGCTGGTTGAGATTTTATTTTTTTAATTTTGGTGAAAAAAATGTAGACAAAGTTTTGACCAAAAAAATGGACATTTGTTTTGCAACCTTTCCCATATTCTTCAACTCACTATACAGCC